ATTTATAAATACACACATGTCTATCTCTACAAGAGACTGTGAACTACAGAAGACGATAATGCAGTATGGTAAAGAACCAAGTTTCAGTCAATATCTATTAAGTATGTTGAAGACAGGCAACCCTGTACGTAGATGACTTCCCTCTAACTCTTATCAAGCAGAGCCCCCTACCACATAAATTCTTTGTAACGATGTTAGACCAGTACTTCTCTTTTTTCCTTTTGGAGAAAAAACAATGCAAAACTCTCCCTGAAGTAAAGTTGTTTATTTTTTGAGAAAACTGGGGTGCATAGTATAAGATTCAGGTATAACTTCAGGATTTCATGAGCCATCTCTTCTAATCTAACTCTCAGGCTGAAAACCCCTAGAGAGCTAAGTTTTAGCCCTGAGTCAGTCAAAATCCTAATCAGTGGCAAGCTACTGATTTGGCAACAATAAAAGCAAAAGAGCCACACAAATCTTGGTTTCAACCCAGGTTTTACTATGTTAGCTATATGAGGCTGAAGAAGTCAAATAACCTTCCTCGGTCTCAATTTCTTCATCTGTGAAATGGGCTAACAATAGCTGTTAATTCCACTCTAAAGTTAGAATGAGATATACAAACATGTACTGGACACAATGCCCTGTACATAATACCGACTCATAAATGTAAGCCATCGCTCTACTCTCTCAGCTCTGTGTTAGTGGTCTTCACCAGCCCAAGGACTGGTGCCATCCACAGGTGCAGGAAGGTTGAAATCACCAGTCCACCACCTTGGTTCTAGCTGCTGTTCCAAACCAGTATGCAGGATGGGTGCTGGTCTGCAGGTGTGAAAAGGTCAAAGAGCGCCGCTCTGTATTACACATTTATCTTCCACTCCTGTCTTCCTCTCCGATCAAAGCTGTATTAGAAACTCCCACGAGATCTCACAGAAGCGGACAAAAATAAAAGCCTCCAAGAATTCATAAGGCTGCAAAACACAGTCCTAATGCTTCCCACCAAGTCAAATTCTTGGTTCAAATCTCTGAAGGTTCTTCTGACTAGACAGTCAGCAATCCCTTCTATGAAATCCAGGTCAGCTGCCAACAAGCAATTGTTCTATTAGGATAAGTCAATTTTTGGAGACAGGCCTGTTAAGTTTCCTTTAAATGGAGATGAAAAGAAGTTGATCAAATGCTAAACTACAGAAACTGCGGGGGTGGGGGAAGGGCACAGGAATAATTTTCTAAAATTATTCCCTCTTAATACTAGGTACTTAAGGACCTCACTCAGCCTTTCTGACCTACTACCCAATTCTCCCACTCCTCACAGAAAGGCTAAAATCCTTAAAATGTTTGGTCCTTAAAATGTTCTTAGGCTTGGTCTCTAAAATGTTCCAGTACTCCTCTGCTTTCAAGATCACTTCAGCACTTAACCCAGGATCCAAAAAAGGCCAGTTTTAAAGTTATACCAAGCCTATCATTAAGGCTTCTTCTACAAATTATTTTCTCGAGCATTTTAAAAATTCGACTCCCAGGGGGGTAAAATGCATTTCCGGTCAAAAACAATCTTTCATCTCTAGCAACACGAATTTTCTTTTTTGTTGAACTAATCCCCAGACCACTGGCCGGGGTTTAATCTGGCTTTTTATTTAATACAACGATGTGAGCTGCATAGTGTCAAGTTGGAAAATTTCAGATAATGATCTCACTAATGACCACAAATTGGTACAAAGATGAAAAATGTATCAATATGTCTATAAACCCTTTACAGTTCCACACTTCAGAAGTGGAGTGTAATTAATTTCTCCAACATGCACACTGAATCCCTTTCAAGCAAATGAGTCTTAATGCTGCATGAATAAGATATTAAAGTAATTGATAACATATCAGATACACTCATTTTTCACAACTTCCACTGATGAATTTTTTTTTAATCTCTTCTTAAAGAGCATGCTGGTGACTGTGGGAAAGTTATTTAAGTCCAAAATGCAGAAAGAAAACTAGGACATTGGTGATAAGTCCAACACTTAAATTACTCTTTTTTATACACACATATAATTCTTAATCAGGCCTTCCCCCTACCATAACCTGTGCAAATGACTGAACAAATATCTGAGAAAATCAAGTTACAAAAAAAAAATTTACAATATACACATCCATCAACACACATACTATCAAAACATCTAATAGGGAAGGAATCAAATCAATTACACAAACCAATTTTCAATCCTAAAAATGTTATAGGAAAAATATTCCCATACAGGATTTTTCTCTCCCAAACCATCAACACTGCTACTGAATTCCACAGAACATAACAAAAACTATGTTATAGGATTAGTTACAGGAGAATAAACTGCTCTGAAGATCATAAAATATTAAGGAACAGTTACATAGGTTTGACTTTGGGGGGGAGTAGCCACTGCTCACAACTTAGAGGCATTGCCCAAAGGTGCAGGAGGTCACCAAGGCAACCCCAGATTGTGCTCCAGGGCCTCCAGGGCTACACCTGGAGATGCTTAGGGAGGCAGGGGTGAGGCATGCACTGCAAGAGATTGAACCTGGGTAAACTCAAGATACCACTATGCTCCCTACCTCCCTGGCACATGCAGTTTTGTTTTGTTTTTTAATGAGAGTAACAAAAAGGAGGTTTGGAAAATCCAACAAGGACACATAAAACATGATTCATCGGAAACTAAGCACAGATTTGTTTCTTCTACGTTCTCCTCTCTAGTGCAAAGTGTTACATTCCCTCTAAGGGGTGCTAAAACATCATTTTTTTCCTGACAAAAATCTTTTCCAGGGCTAGGGAGATGACACAGAGGGCTGAAGGGCACAGATTGTATGTGGGAGCCCCAGGTCCAATCCCTGACACTACATGATCCCCAAGCACCAAAAACAGATGTGGAACCAAAAACCAAAAAGTATTTCTCAGGGCTGACAGGGTCCAACCACATCAATTACTTCAATGGGGAAGTATCTGAAGAACCGAGAAAAATGGCCAGCCTGGGCACACACGTGTCCTGGAAGCACACTGCACCCCCTGGGTACACTGGAAAACGTTCCGCAAGTGGGTCCCACAAGAAAGAGAGTGCACCCAGAAACGACTATCCAGACCGCCTGGATAAGCTTACCACCACTGCTGCAGTTATAAGGGAATTAAGGACACCTATTAGGGTTGCTTAACCGGTAAACTTATTAAATAGCACTTAAATCATTTTTCTTTACTTAGCAATTGTGGACTTAATTTTTTTTGACTAGGCTAATGAACTACAAAAGGGTCAGATAAGCTCTTTAAAAACTTTCAAGAGAATATATTCCTTCTGCCAAACTCACACATACATTATCTCTCGACTCACAAGGATGAAATAGTCACAAATGGTGTGTTTAAACTGCTAATTTTGTATTAAATGGCGAACCCAAGATTATCTCCAAAGCGTAGCCCTACTCCTAATGGGCAGACAAACTACTGTGGAGAGTCACCGCACAGTGGACACACTGCAGATAAAAATCGCCAACTTCAAAAGTCTCCTTTTAAAAAAAAAAAAGCGAAGTGGCACGTGAAAGCATCTTTTCTCTGGGAAGGCTGTAAATCAAACATTTCTCAGGTCATCAAAGCCCAGTGACCGCCTACAAGAGAAACAAGGAGTCAGCTTGAAGAGGCGCCAGGCACAAGCCTCGCATGCCACCCTTTCTTGCAGACGGCGACTGCGAGCTTTGCAGCAGAGCTGCTTCTCTTATAAAGCGCGTCCAGATCAGAGCTAGGACGTCACCAAACAAACAAACAAACAAAAGCGTCCCCAAGTCTTGCGCAGAGACAACAAGTGTTTCTCCTCCCGCCTGCATCTACTCGGCAGGAGTTTAAGGCAGGGAGACGGGCCGTGCAAGGCAGTGCTGCTGATTAATGGCCTGGCAGAGAAGCCTCCCCCGGCTTCCTATGGACACACCTCTCGGGAGCCCGAGCCGCACGGCTCCGCGTCGCAGCCACGCCGGGCTCTGCAGCCCCGCAGCGGGGAGAGGGCCGGAGCCGGCAATGCCACGGTTCCGGCCGGTGGCCTTCCCTTCATTCAGAACGCAGCCCGGGAAAGCGCAGAGGGGCCCGGACAAAACTCGGGAGCCCCGCGGCCACTCGATCACACACACACACACGCCCCCCTCGGGGCTCAGAGGTCGCCCCCCTTCCCGGGGATGCCTTAGGAACCGCGGCGAGTGCGCTGCCCGTCTAAGCAAGCGTCAGGGAAACCCACGCGCCGAGGGAGCAGGCGGACGGCGGAGGAACCGAGCCCTGGCGGCAACTGCTTCCTCGGGCGACGGGGCACTGCCTGCAGCTGTCCCCGCCAGCCGCCCCGGGCACGCACGCACGCACACGCTCTGGTCGGGGAGCAGACGGGGGGTCGCCCTGTCAAGAGCGCGGCCCCCGCGGCCCGCTTCCCAGGCCCTCCCGCAGAAGCGCGCGCGGCCCGGGTGCGGGCGGGCGGGCGGGCGGGCGGGCGACTTCCCCGCGAGCCTCAGTAATCCGAGGCACGCAGCGAGGGTTGCCCGCCCGCCCGCGCGCCACCGCCGCTCCGGGGCATTCGCGAGCCCCGCTCCCCGGCCGGCTCCCCCTGCTCCCCAGCCTGCCGCGGCTTGTCCCGACCCCGCAGGAGGGGTCCGGCGCCCAGGTGAGGGGCGGGGGGAACGCGGCGCGGCCGGTGCGGAACCACCCCCCGCGCGGGCGGACCCGCCGCTCCCCCGGGCACGCGCGGCCGCCCCTCCCGCGCGCCCGCGCTCGCCCTCCCGGGCTGGCCCTCCGCGGGCGCCGCCGCGACTTCCACCTGAGGCGATGCCGCGCGGGCCCCGGGGCCGCGGGAGGCTGCGCCCCGCCCGCTGCCCCGCTCGCCGGTCCCTCGCACGCGCCCGCCGGGGAGGGATGCGGCGGGCCTCGCGCCGCCCGCCCGCCCGCCCGCCCTCCCGCCAGCCCCGGCGGGGTCGACGGGCGCAGCCCCCGGAGCCATCTTGTGGCGGCGGGGCGGCGCTGGGCCCGGGCGCGGGCGGCTGGCTACCTGCACGATCTCGCCCTCGGCGCTGAGCGTGGCCCCGGCCCGCGAGAAGCGGCCCGTGAGGCCGGTGGTGTCGGTGGTGTAGTCGCCGCTCGGGCTCGACTCGAACAGCACCACCTCCACGAACGCCGTCTCCTTGGCCCGCGCCGCGCCGGGCCCCGCGGCCGCCAGCAGCAGCCCGAGCAGCAGCGGCAGCGGCGGCGGCGGCGGCAGGCGGCGGCCGCGGGGGCGGCGGCGGCGGCGGCGGCCCGGGGCCCCTGGGCGCCCGCCCGAGCGCGGCCTCATGGTCCTGCGGCGGGAGGGCGCGGAGGGCGGGCGCGGCCGGGCATAGTCGCGGGCCGGCGGACGACCGAGCGCGGGCGGACGCCTCACAGCCCCATCGCGGCGGCGGCGGCGGCGGCGGCGGCGGCGGCGGCTTTGTGGGTCGCAGGCTCGGCTCGGCTCCCCCGGCCGTCGCGCTGCGGCCCTTTCATCTGCTCCACGTGAGGGGTTATCCCCGCCCCAGCAGCGTCGTGACCCGCTCTCCCCTCCCTCCCGCACCCGACCGCCCGGGCCGCCGAGGGAGCGGGAAGGCGGGGCGGGCGCGCCGGCCGCGGGGGGCGGGCCCCGGCGGCCCGGCTCGCCCCGCCCCCGCCCCGCCCCGGCCTCCCGCCGCGCCCCGCCCCTCGCGCGGGCCCCGCCCCCGCGGCGCTCGCCCCGCCCGCCGCCCGCGCTCCCGCCCCGCCCCGCCGGCCTCGCCCCGCCCCCGGCTCGCCGGCCCGGCCTCGCCCGCCCGCCCGGCCCCGCCCCCGCGCCCGCGCTCCGCCCGCCCCGGCCCCGCCCCCGCGCCCGCGCTCCGCCCGCCGCCGCCGCCGGCACCCCCGGCGCGCTCCGCCCTCGGCGGCGGACATTTCTCCTCGCCGTTTCCCCGCGCGCGCTCGCTCGCGGGGCGTCGGGGACCAGCTCCGGCTCCCGGGCGCCGTCGGGGTCTGGAGGCTCGCTGTCTGTCCCAGCGCTTGTGCTGTGCCCCTCTCTGCTCCCCGGCCCGATCCACGGTTCCCGGGAGCGAGCTCCCCCTCTCCCGGCCCGCCACCCCCCTCCTGCAGGATCAAACGGGGAAAGGCTTGGCGGTCCGCTTGGCCCTGCCGGGACGTGTCTGAATCTCGCACCCGTGTCGCTTAGACAGTCGCGTTGGGAGGAGGAAGCCGTTTGGCCCTTTGGATGGTAGTGGAGCTCGTCTTCCTGCAGTCACGAAGTCCACTTGCAACAGCCCCCTCCGTAGACGTTCTGCCCCTGGATCGGTCTTTAAGAAGGCACGCGGGGAGGGCAGGGGAGCTGGGGTGGAGTTCAACACCATCTCACCATCTCTCTTTATTTAATAAACCCATAACTGTCTGCTTCACTCAGCGCCTACCTAACACGTGTGCACCGGGCTTCAGCAATCACCCCGAAGATAAGCTTTCTAGTCACTGCCCTTCTGGAGGATGCCTCTTCTTTCCTCGGCTAGTTCTCTCGATTGGGATTGAAATCTTCAAAATCCAGATTCACGGCTAAAGAGTTAGCTCAACCGAGCGCAACCTCTGCGTGCAGGAGACCCGGCTTCTATCCGACTACTGCATGGTCCCCTAAGCATGGGCTGCAGCAACCCCTAGCTTCGCTAGCTGTGCCTCCTCTCCCCCCTCAAAAGCGTAACAAATCTCGGAATAAATTACCATTCCTCTGTGTAGCCCTCCTTCTGCGACCAAAAATGACTTTAAAATACTTGCAAATAGAGGCTGCAAGATAGTACAGCAGGTGGACAGGGCGCTTGCCTTGCACACAAGTCTTCCAAGATTCCATCCCCTACACAACATATAATTAATCTTCCAAGCACTGCCAAGAGTGATCCCTGAGCACAGAGCCAGGAATAAGCCCTGAACACGGCTGGGTGTGGCCCCAACCAAAAATTAAAATAACTTGCAAAATTTGATTAAGATGATCTGCTTCTACTTGATACCACACCCAAAATGAAAGAAAGAAGGGAAGAAAAAATTGTCTTGAATAAACAGCATACCAGTTTACATTTTAAAGTAGGGGGAAAATACTTTCACAGCAGAAGAGATAGTACACTAGGTAAGGCTTGCACACAGTCCACCCAGTTCTATCGCCTGAACCACAGAGGGTCTCCCAATCCCTTCCAGGAATAATCCATGAGCACAAAGCAAGGAGTATTTCCTGAAGACAGCTGGGGGTGGCAAATAAAGATAGAGAGAGAGAGAGAGAATTATTTTCAGGGTCCTGAGAGCGCATATAGAGGTTAAGGTGTTTACCGTGCATGCAGCAGACTCAACATTCATGGGGTCCCTGGAGCACAGAACCAGCACAATCAGAGTGATACCTGAGCACAGAACCAGGAGCAGCCCTTGAGCACCCCAGGTGTAGCCCACTCCCTCCAAATAGATTTTTCTCCCTTCAAAATGTAAAAATAAATGAGAAATACCAATGAATCTGTTTTTATCATATTTGGACCATCCAGAGCATCTGCTCAAGAGAAAGACTCCTGGGGCTGGAGCGATAGCACAGCAGCTAGGGCGTTTGCCTTACATGTGGCTGACCCGGGATCGATTCCCAGCATCCCATATGGCCCCCCAAGCACCACCAGGAGTAATTTCTGAGTGCATGAGCCAGGAGTAACCCCTGTGCATTGCTGGGTGTGACCCAAAAAGAAAAGAGAGAGAGAGAGAGAGAGAGAAAGACTCCTCAGAAAGCAGGAATTTGAATAGAATATGGTCAGTTTTTACTTTCTCCAGAACCAGCCCCACCCAACCAGGAACCAGGGCTGCCTAGAGCTGGGCAACATCATACCTGACAACAGTCGGGTGTCAGAGGGGTCCTTACGGGAGGGGTCTGATCACCACAACCCATTCAGGACCTTTTGCAATATTTAAAACTCGTGGTGACCATCAACTGATAAATGAATAAACAAATGCAGTATCCAAACAACGGCATCTCATTCTTCAAGGCTTGATTGCTGATCCCTGTGGCGACAGGGTCAAACCTTGAAAACATGATGCTAAAGGAAAGAAGCCCCCCAAAACGGTCCCATAGTGTATGATTCCTTTTGCATGAAATGTCCAGCTTAGGCAATTCTACAGAGACAAGCAGTAGTTTAGCAGTTGCCAAGAGCTGGGAGGAGGCAGGAATGGGTTTCTTTGGGGGGGTGATGAAAATGTTCTGAAATTAGATAATGGTGATGGTTGCACAACTGTAAATAAACTAAAACCCACTGAATTGTACACTTTAAAGGGACGAATTTAATGGTATGTGAATTATATCTCAATATAGTTGTTCTAAAAATTCTAAGTTATTAGTGGTATTTTTATGCAAACCACACACACACACACGATACTGTGTAAAGATATTCACTACACTTTTTATTTTTTTTTGTTTTTGTTTTTTTGAGAGGGTGTCAGGGCTTAACCTGGCTCTGAGTTCAGGCATCACTCCTAACAAGATTCAGGGGACCCTTTGGGGTGCTGAATATCAAACCCTACTCAACCATGTGCGAGTCAAATGCCCTAACCACTATATTATCACTCCAGCCCCAAGATCCTCTCTACTCCTCTCTACTCTTGGAAGTCTTATTCAAACTGCACCCCCTCCACAAGGCCTACCCGGGCTACCCTGTGTGAAACAGCAATGCTTGTCACTCGAAACATCCCTTGGCTTGCCTCCCCGTACCAGTTCTTACCTTAATATCCTATAGAATTGACTTCTTTACTTTTTTGTCTCCCTTCTGCGTCCCAAACATACACATGTCAGAGAACAAACTCTATCATGGTAAGGATCACGTCCTGTTCACAGACTTGGGCCAAGGCTGCCTGGCTCAGAGTAGGCCCTCAGAAAATATTTGCAGCATGAATTGATGACTAAATGAGTGATAAGCTCATCAGTGTGTTTCCCTCCCAGTCTGCAGACATTTGGGATAGCTTGTTAACAGCTACAGGAACAAAATAAATTTCGAACTTGGAAAAGAACAATCCTTCCCTCGGGGATTTCAATAAAAACCCAGACAGGATCAAAAAGGAAACTCGGGTTCAGAGATGTCACAGAGGGGTCAAGTACATGCTTCACATGGATAGCACCCTGACTTCAAGATACAGCACAAAAGGAGAAGAAAATATATGAAGGAAAGAACAAAGGAAGGAAGGGAGCCTGAGGGATTGCTCAGTGGATTGAGTGCTTGCTTAGCACGCAGGAGTCCTTGGTTCAATCTCTGGCATCACTCAGTACCCCAAGCACCGCCAGAAGCAACCCTTCAGCTTACATCCAGGAAGGCCCCCCTGAGCATGGCCAAGTATGGTCCAACGCCAAAACCTAAGAAAGAAGTTTTGATTTTTGAAACTCTGAGAATATAATACATAGGTCAGGGGACAGGAAGATAGATTAATGAGGACCTAGAGAGGTAGTACAGGGGGTAGGGTACTAGCCTTGCATGCAGCCAACCCAGTTTCTATCCCTGGCACCACATATGGTCCCCGAAGCACCACCAGAAGTGGATCCCTGAGGGCAGAGCCAAGAGTAAGTCCTGAGCACCACATGAGTATGGACCCCAAACCAAACCAAAACCAAAACAAAAAATCTGTTTAATGAAAGATATGATTTCATTGATTAGTAATACACGGGTCAGGGGCAGGAAGATAGCTCGAGGGGCTAGAGCATTCATTGGCATGAGACTCTGAATTTAATCCCCATTGCCACGTGTCTACCCCGAGCATGGCCTGCAGAGCCAAGCCAAGCATGGCTGGGAGTGGCCCCTGAGCCCCCCGAGCACTGCTTAGAAGTAAAATGTTTTAATTAGATAGTATATCCATCAATAGCTTTAATAACAGAGGGACTACAATTCATCTCCCAACGGGATCAAGCTATTTAGAAATGGAGGCATTTAATCCATGAACAATAAAATTTCACACCATCTGATAGACCTTAGGGGTCTTGAGATAGAGAGCCAGAGCACTAGTACAATGACTAGGGCATTTGCGTTGCAAGGGCTCACAGGGGTTCAATCCCCGGCATCCCATCTGGTCCCCTGAGCACCCCTGGAGTAAAACCTGAGTGCAAAGCCACGAGTAACCCCTGAGCATCACAAGTGTGCCCCAAAAAATAAAGAAGAAGGGGCAAGTAAACTGGGCCAGAAAGATAATACAGTGGGCTAGGCGCATGCCTTGCACATTTCTGACTCAGGTTTGATCCTCAGCATCCCACATGATCTCCTGAGCAACCCCAGAAATAATTCCTGAGCACAGAGCTAGAAATAACTCCTGGGCACTACCTAATATGGCCCCAATACAAACAAAAATAATAATAAGGGGATATAGAAAATAATGTCGATTGGGGATGGAGTGATAGCACAACTGTCAGGGTACTTTTCTCGCATGTGACTGACCTGGGTTCGATGCCAAGGACCCTATATGGTCCCTTGAGCCCTGCCAAAGAGTGATCCCTTGGTCCCTGAGCGTGGAGTCAGTAGTAAGCCCTGAGCACTGCCAGGTGTGGCACCTGCCAAAAAAAT